AATTTTTATGCTTAATTAAGATAAAGTGTCATAGAAGAACTTTCAGTTAAGACTCCCGTGAGCTGCCTGTGCTGGAGGCGGGTGGGGACCATGGAGACTCTGGGATGAACTCTGCATAGACACGGAAATGGCTGCAGAGGGAAAGGAACCTGCTCCTCATCACACAGAGGAGCGCACTGGGTTTGAGCCTGGGCCTCAGGAAACTTTGTTCTCCAGTGCACTCCTGCTTCTGCAAGGGGAGGGGCCTCCAGGACAGAGGGCACAGGCTGAGCTGGGCCAGGGCTGCTGGGTCCAGGGCCTTCCCAGCAGGGTCCGCCACATGGTCCTCAGACTACTGGCATCCAGTCGCAGAACAGCCATTGCTTTTCAGGTGCTGCTGCTGCTTACATCTGGGCTCAGAGCGAGCCAGTCTGCAGAGGCCCTTGGCGGGGTGACACTACCATCCTGTCTGCCCGCCTCTGAGGTTACAGATGGGGACGTCAGGGCACAGGAAGACTATGAGACACTGCCACAGGGAAGAGCCAGGGTTTGCCTCCTGATGATTCTCTGCCTCCTTCCATGCTCTGGGCACCTGTGGGGCTTAGCAGAGTGCACACACTGCACACCCACTGTGTGCAGGCCAGGGAGCCGCTTCCACTGGAAAGGCCTGGGTTACAGTGATTTTGGAGGTTGCTAAGGAAAGCAGGAAGGGATGGGGAAGGGATGCTAAGGAAGGGATGAGGAGGCTCCCTGCAGGAGGAGCCAGATGTCAGTGCCTCCTCTGGGACCAGGGAGGCGATGGTGGCATTGGAGGCCAGCAAGAGCCACGGCGGGGACCTGAGTAATGCAATCCATGGCCTTGTCCCTAAAGATCATGTGGCATTTCTTCGAAACCCAGTCTTAACTGTCAACATTTATGAGCTAGAGACATCTGCTTAAATGCATCTCTGCCTTCTTTGGAGAAAGTGGAAAGATTTGGTACCAAATCTTTGGTAGACTTACATGCATTGTAGCATCAGGTATGGTGGCATAGACTCCTGATCCTAGCACTCTGGGAGGCTGAGGCAGGAGGATTTCAAGTTTGAACTCAGCCTGGGCATCTTACCACTTAGCAAGGCTCTTGTCTCAAAAGAAAAAAACTTTTAAAAAAGACCCAGGGATGGAGTTCATTCAGTGTGCAGGCCCTGGGTTCCATCCTCAGCACCTTGAAGGAAAATAAAAGGGACCAATGGGAATGGAGAGCCAGGGAGAGGTGACTTTGCGGGGTCAACAGCACCATGGCAGTCCCCTCCTGCCCTGCTTCCCCAGGCTCTCGGGGCATGCACTGCAGTCTCCCAGGGGCCTTGCCCTCCACTATGGTGTCCCCAGCTCCCTCTGGCCTAGCACTCTTGACCTGTGACAGGGCCCAGCCTTCTCAGAGTCCATGCCAGGGAGCCCAGGGCCACTTCATGGTCAGTACCTTCCAGCAGGCAGCTAGAGAGGCTCTGTCCCTGAGGGCAGAGCTGCAGTCTGGGCTCCACCTGAGGGTTTATCGGTGATCCTGCCCTGTGCAAAGTACTAACCCAGCCGGTGTCCCTGCCCTACCCTGGATGGAGGCCAGCCTGGGCTGAGCGGGGATTCCACACACTCATCTTGCCCGGGTGTCACTGCAGGTCTCCCTAGGAAGGAGGTGGACCGGATGTGGAGAGAGGTTCCTGATGTCAGGTGGTGTTTTTTGTACAAAACTCATGGCAATCCTCCTGCCTCAGCCTCCCGAGTGCTGGGATTACAGGCATGCATCAACAGACCTGGCATCAATTTCAGCTTTTACATCTCACCAGATTGGCCGGACATCTGTGCCAGCTTGGCTTACAGAATGCCAGGACAAAGGTAGCTGAGTCTTGAAGAAGCTGAGCTCATGCTGGTGCCTGTGGATGCCACTTGGGCAGCCCCGGCATGGAGGCTGGGCCCTGCCCCTCTGGGCCCACAACTACAGTGTAGGCATCGTGATGCCCATCTGGAGTCTTCTGCTTGGCACGCGGGGCCATCCTGTCTGTTCAGCCCCTTTCTGTTCCTCAAAGGCTTCCTCCCCATCTCCAGAGCTGCCAGCCGTGCCCAAGCCTCTGGCTCCAGAACTGAACCCCAATGCTGTTGCCCCCACTTTGGTCACTGCTGCCTCTTGCAATCTCTGCCACCCACCTGAATGGGCCTTCAACCTGGGTGAATCACTAAATGCCGCCATCCTGATACCAACAGAAAGGAAGGCTCTCCAAAGAAGAGAATCTCATTGGGAAGAGCAGGGCAGGGGAAGCAGACCACAAGGGCCATGGTGAGCTTTTCATATGTTCAGGGTGGAACAGGAAGTGGGGAGAACTGACAGGTACAAGACCACTACATAAAGTGCCTTGAAACATTACCCTTGGGCACAGCAATCTGAGCAGGGTTGTGTCGCGCCCGCGCTGGACAGACAGCTGCTGGGCAGATGCCCTCGTGGGATGACTTTCTGTGGAGGCTGTGGTGGCCCTTGTACCAAGCTGTGGTCAGGCATGTGTGTGACAGCACTTCCTTCCTGGCTCTTCCTGGCTCCGTTGCATTGGGGTTTGGCACAAGTGGCTCCGTTCTTGGCAGACAAACTACACAACTGTGTCAGTTACTTTTCTCTTGTTGCTGAGACAAATACCAGACACCCAAAGTTGAAGAGGAAGAGGTTTATGTGGCTCACAGTTGGTAGGGGTTTCAGTCCATAATCAGCTGGCTCCAAAGCAGGGTGGTTGGCATCCCAGAGGAGAAACACGGTGTGCACCAGGTAGCAAAGGTGACAAGAGAAACTTCACAGCATCTCCTTGCCCTTTTTATCTTATTCAGGCTACTTAGGACAGCCAGCACGCACACCTTTCATCCTAGCCCCGTTGAGCCTAGCATTGCATCATGAATCCACTCCAGCTTCACACACTCTAGATCCAGCCTATGACCACATGAGGCTTTGGGGGGACATCAAGACCCGAACCATAACAACAACCCAAGACACATCCCCAGGGGCTCCCATGGGTTGGATCCACCCTCCAGGCTTGCAGTCCAGGATAGGGGTGGCAGAAGCATAAGCAAAGTATGCAGAGCCCCTGCCACCGGGAGATGGCACAGCCCTGAGGACCTAGCCATGCCGCATTCTTCCAGGTCTGGATCCTGGCTGGTGGTACAGAGCACACTGTGTCTTTGGCTGCGGGTATGGGACACCAGAGTGGCCAGCCCAAGGCCAGGAGGAACATCTCCTGGCTCGAGTCACCGAAGACAGCAGAGCAGATCAGTGAGTGCCCAGGCCAAGCACAGCTGGAAACAGTCTCTCTCCAGCTGTGTGTGCTTCTCTCTGCACACGGTGGCCGTTTCCTTACACCAGGATGACTCAGGACACACGGCCCCAGGCTCTGGCCTGGAGCAGAAGGGTTTTGTGTCCTGCCCCCATCCTGCAGGGCCTGGCAGAGACGCAGTTGGTCCAGCCGGGTTGTGAGCTCTCTTGGACCCATCCCATTGGTCTGGGGTGAGGCACCCGCAGGCGGCCTGGACATCCACGCACACCTCTGTGAGCAGGGTGACACAGGCACGTGCTGTGCTTAGAGAAGGAAGGAGGGGGTGGGGTCTCCCCCTGGGGTCTGGGCCCCACCCCCACTCCAGGGGCCCAGCCACCTCACTCCTCACGGGCCTGGGGTGGGGCCAGGTGCACCCCATTCTGATTACCCTGGAAGATCTTTGGAGCCGCTTTACTAAACACATCAGCTTTGTAAGCACACCGTCGGGGCCCAGAATTCTCAGAGGATGAATGACCTTGAAGGGCCAGCCTTCTGGGTGGCTTTGCCAGAATCTACTTCACTGGGAACAATCTTGGATCTTGGGTGATGAGGGTGGAAAGGCCCAGCATGCAAAGCAAGCAGATGGACTGTCGCATTGTCACAGGGAGAGGGAGCCTGACTACAGCAGCCGCCATGGGCTGCAGAGCCCACTCAGTGACACCGGAGCTCCAGAACGAGCAGCCCTCCTGTGGGTGGAGGCCCGGGACTCATCACTTGGGCCCAGCCTATCCGGTTCATCAGGCCTCTGGCTGCCCAGGCCAGGTCCCCGGTCCGCCGCCCAGCACAGCTGGGCAGCATTAAGGACTTGGCACCCTCGGAGCCGGCCGCAGCTCCTCGGGGCCTTTCTCTTGCTGGTGTTGTCAGGGGCTGATGGAGTCGGGAAGCAAGCGAGGGAGGAATGTGTCCAAGCCGGGCCAGGTTGACACCCAGCTGCAGGGCAGGGTCAGCGGAAGGTGAGAGCATCTATGGATGGCACACTTGGGCCACCAGCTCCAAGTCCCGGGTCCTGGGTCATTCAGTGCCCCAGGTAAGAAAGAGGGCTTCCGGGGACCCATACTATCCGTGGAGGGATGGGTGACCACACACAGGGAAGAGTCCAGAGCAGCCCTGTGCGTAGGAGCTGTGCAGCACAACTGGGCCATCCCTGTGCCTCAGTCTCCCTCTGTTCCCCCCGCTCTTCCCTCTGCCCTCCTCCTCTGCCTCTTCATCCACACAGGCCACAGTTTGACACCCACCTGCCCCTGACACCCTCTCAGGCCCACGTCACCAAGCTCTGCTCTGCAATCCAGCCTGGTCTAGAACCCCGGAACATTCCAGGTTCCAGGACACATTCTAGGCTTCCACGGAAGCCACTGGCTCATCCCGCCAGGCACATGTCTCCATGCCTGTGTTCACTCTGTCCCCTCCGCTGTCCCCACCTGCCTGCACCTCTCACAATGTCTTCCTCTCGAGGTGAAATCTGGGAGGAGACTGTCCACACACGTGAGAGACTGCCTCAGCTGTCAGCTCCTCCTCGAAGCTTTCCCTAACTTTGTCTCCACCCGAGGAGAACTGACTGTGCCTCCTTTGCCCTCCCTGAGCTCCAGGGTTGGAGAACCAGGCTGAGCCCCTGTCGGGGCAGCTTCTGACATTTTTTTTTGAGGAGAAATCAAGCACTGGCAGAAGGTGGAGGGCTCTCCTCTGGAGATCTCCAACGTCTTCCAATTTTCCCAAGTCCTTCATTGTTGTCGGGCGCTAACAGACCCGGGTGACCTTAGTGAAGAAACACTGGGCTTCCGTGTGGTAACAGTCCCCTCTTCTGTCCTCACAGGGAGGCTGGGAAGACAAGAATGATTTTCCGATTAAATGTAAGGTGGCCAGTGGGGCAGAGGCAGTGGGCTCAGCACCGGGACAACTCACAGATCTGGCTGTGACTTCTGCAGCTCAGAGTTACAAGAACTGTGCCATCACCCCCTCGGGCCTCCATTTCCCTCATCTGTGAAGAAGAGTCTAGGCTGCAGGATTTCACAGGCACTGCCCACTCCAGCTCCAGCCTTCTGGAAGACTGCATGCCCCATGTCCTCTTGACTTAGGCCCTTGGTTCCCACTGGATGTGGTGTGAGAATCTTCCAGAGGAGGCCGCCATTGGGATGCTGGCTCAGCACCCTTGTAGAAGCTTTGTCTCCTGTACCACATGGGCAGAGCCAGGCCTCCCACCTTCTGAGCTCCAGCCTGCAGTGACCTCTGACCTGGTAGCTCCCCTGATGGCTGGGCCATGTCCTGCTAGCTTGGCTGGTTGCACGGGGACCTCAGGTGAGAGGATTCCTGTGCAACCCACTCAGGACCAGGCATCCTTCTCAGGGGCTCTCTCTCCTGGTGGGCTTTTGTGCGTGTGATTGGAGGAGGACTTGCGTCCTAGGCCTTTCTGTTCTGCCACGTCCGGGCTGCGTAGTCTTGGAGAACCAAGGTCTCTGGGTCCCCGTGGGCAGAATGCTAGGAAAGGACACCCCTGCCCACCTTATCAGGTGGTACCAGGCTCAGAGGAGATGGCTGTGGAAGGGGCTTTATCATCCGAGGGAGGGGAGGCGCTGCCCTTGGGCAGGAGATGATGTTGCTGTGTTATGGTTACCTAGCAATGATAATGACAACACTATGCCGTGATGAGTCTCCTGGGCACCTTAGCCACTTAGCAAGACCCTGTCTCAAAATAAAAAATAAAAGAAGAGCTGGGGGTGTCGCTCAGTGTGAAGGCCCGAGGTTCAGTCCCCACTGCTATGCAAGATACATGTGATGCCGGTGGCAAGAATTTTACCAGTAGACAAGGAATTTAGATCAGGTACTCTGCCAAGAGGGACCGAGGGCACATTTCCAAGTGAGTCTGGGTGAGAGAGAGGGGTTTTTATTAGGGTTTGAGGATGTGGGGAAAGGGTCTAGGGAGCAAATGTGATTATCTAAAGAATGTCTTTTTTGTGGATCATTTAGCACCTTGCCAAGATCTTCTGGGAGCACCCACATTGTGTTTAAAATTATGTTTACAGTCACAATTTAACAAAAGCCATTTCCCTCTGGCTCACAGAGGATTTTAGCTTTAGATAAGGAGCTAATGAGGTCTGTGCATATCTTGTAGAGAAAGAAGTCAGATCCAGACTCATTTGGAGGAGTAGATTGGCCTTGCATCAAGAGGTTTGTTGCTGACTCAAGAGGTTTGTTGCTATCTGATGACCTCCTACCAAGAGTGAGAGATGTGGGTAAACAGAGTCCTTTGTTGTGGGATGGGATGGCTTTAACTGGATGCCAGGGTCTCACTCTTAAGGGTTTCAGTCCTGTTGCCAAGGGTGAGGATTATACCCATGCCAAAAAAGAAAAAGAGGAATGGTGGCAGCAGAGCCATGGCACAGGGAGCAAACACAGGAATGAGCATTGGTCCTGGCCTCCAGCTCCCCACCAGTTATCACCTCTGTGAGCAAGGGATCCCCAAACTGGTGACCCCCAAACATGGATTCCCCATCTACTAACCAAGAACAGTATGGGAGTATCCAGTAGTTAGAATGGTTTTCTCATAACCAGATCCCAGTATATAAATCTGATCAAAGAAATTGATTGGGTGATGGCCCAGGAAGGGAGAGGAGGGAGCTGGGAATGGAAGGTAGAAGGGATGGAGAGTCAGGGAAGTGGGAAAGGGCAAGGTGAGAAGGGCCTAGGAGCCTTTGGCAGAGTGTGGAAGACATCCAAGGGTTGCTCCCCGGGTGCAGGAACCTGAGGTGTTTACCCACCAGCCAGCTTCACTCTTAGTGTTACGGAAAAGTTTGATTGGCTTGGAAGCAACCCAGGGCACCAGTGGAGCTCACTTCTGGATGTACCTGGGTGGGTCATGGAGGCGTGTCCTTGGGGTCTATATTGGGTCCCTGGCCCCTTTCTCTCTGGCACTGTTCCCTGGCTGTGTTTCTTATTGCCATGAACTAAGCGGCTCTGCTCCACTAAGCCCTTCCACCATGATGCTCCTGCCTTGGAGTCAGCTAACCATGGACTGAATCTCCTTAAAACATAAGCCAAATTAAACCTCTCCTCCTCTAAGTTGTGGGCATTGGGTATTGTGTCTAGCAATGGGACAGCTGACTGATATGGTTACAGTGTTGATGCCTTAGAATCTCTGGCCTCCCGGGAGTGCCCCACCTCATGGCCCTGTGGCTGAGAGATGTTGGCAGCTGTGAGTGTGTTTGGAAGCCCTTGGGTGATGTCATGGCTTGTGTCTAACTTTGGGTGTCGGGTATTTTGTCTCAGTGAGAAAAGGAGCTAAGACAGGCAGGCTGAGGGTGGGCCAGTCCTGACAGCTACCACCAGGCCACCTTGTCTGGTGTCGTGAGAGTTCTGGGAGGTGATACCTGGCTTAGCACGTCCCTAACCCACAGTGTGCAGAACGAACAGTCTATTGTAAGTAGCTGGGCCCTTGCTCCCTCCATCCCAACCAAACTCCAAGGCTACCCTGAGAGCAACCCTTCCCCTGTGGCCCTGGCTAAAAGGGAGGCCATGACCCTCATCTCCAAGGCTGAGGTTGCGTTGGTCTCAGCCCACCATGTGCTGCTGGGTGTGGACTTGGGGTGCCATCCAGGTCTGGGGGACACCAGAGCACGTGGGCTCACTCCTGAGAAGCAGCCCCACAGAACACCTCAGGAAAGTGTGCGTGTGTCCCCGCACCTGGGCCACCTCAGACTCTTCTCCTGGCTCAGGTGCCTCAGCACAGGAAGGAGCAACATTCTGGTAACTTCTGGAAGGGGACCTCAGTCTGATAGCTCATTTCTAAGACCTCTCTCAAGCAGGCACCCAGATCCCAGAGTTAGCTCCAAGATCAGCTTCCTGGAGTCAGTATCCATGTGCTCCCTTCTTTGTGAGAAAGGAAAAAGAATGCGCTGGCATCTTGCCTTTAGCACTGCCTTTCCTGTCTCAAATTTGCAGTCAGCATTCGAGTCAAAGTGTGTGCTTCCCATGCTGACGTCTTCGGGCCGCCTGCAAAGAGGAAGGAGCTCACTGAGGGAAGAACCCAGAAGGTTGGAGGAAGAGGCCACATTCCTTCAAATTCACACCTCTGAGTCTGAGTGCCTGGCTTAGCCTTCCTCTAGCTCAGCCTCCTCCTGGGAGCCTGGGAGGCCCGGATGAAGTCACTGGATTATGAAGCAATGGACTTGGAATGAAGGGTGCGTGTTTTTCATTCCACAAAGAAACAACAGCATATATCTGGCTTTTTTCCTTCTTGGTCATTGATTTCAGGGTGCACACTGAATGCAATCAAGGTGTGGGAGGGCAGAGTCATTCTTGAGGTTGTCTTAGGGCTACAGAGCTGAGCAGTAGTCCTAATAAGCAAGACCATGGGCCTGGGGCTGGAGCAGAGGCTCATCGCTGACTCAAGGCCTTGACTGTGCTGGAGGGGCCTGGGGACAGCAGGGCACACACAGGACCAGAGATAGGGCCACCCTGGAGGCTGGGGCAACTCTGACGCCTTCTGAGTGGATCTTGGGGATGCTGTACTTGCCAGTGGGTTCATGCACTTATGAGTTCAGCAGCCATGTGCGGTTAGGAGGCGGAGCTTGGTTAGAGCTGGCTCATGGGGCGTGGCCTGGAAGGGTTAGGTCCCTCCCTGGCTTCTCCTCTCACTTCCTGCATCTTGGACACCGTGACAGGAGCTACTTCCTTTGGCTCGACCCTCCTACCACACCTTCCTGCCTTGGCTCACTAGGGACTGAGTCCACCTCTCTTCCTTTAAGTTGATGTCAGGTATTTTGTCCCAACAAAGAGAAAGGGACTAAATACCTGTGGGCCTCTGCGAGGTGAACGTTTGATGCTAACTTTATAAATGAGGAAACTGAGGCTCAGAGAGGCTTATCAGTTTGTCCAGGATCACGTGTTAGGTGCTAGAGTGGCCAAATATCCTAGTTTGTCATTTTAGCCCTGAAATTTCACAGCCCTGGAAACCTTCAGTTCTGAACAAACAAGGATGGTGTCACCATGTAGGTTCCAGAGCTAAGACTAAAGCCAGGGCTACTTGGGCCCCAGCCTGACGCTCAGCCTCCATCCACCCCTGCCAGTCTCAGGTTTCTTCCCTACAATGGCCTCACACACAAGGGGAAGCCCCTTTACCCGAAGTCACAGCAATAGAAAGCAGAAGAGGATGAACTTGAACCCAGGACCAGCTTTCTCCAAAGTCTGTTTTTCTGATCAGGCTGCCTGGACAGGACAGGAGCACCGTGTTGTTTGTACAGGAAGGTGGGAGGCTCCAGAGCACCTTTAGCCCAGTGGTGTGGCTGCACACAGCAAGGCAGTCCCAGCGGTACCCCCTTTCTCGGGTGGCACACACATCCTTGGGGGAGAAGCTGGGGTCTTTGCCAGGTCTGTGTCCTTGGAGCTGTGGGTGGCTCTAGCTTCGAGGGGCAGACAAGAGAAGAGATCACCCACCAGGGCTGCTTTTATTTCAATGGCAGCACAAAGTTCAACAGCTCTGTAATTGGCAGACATAAATACAGACATAAAGCAAGAGCTGATTTTAAAAGAGCTACAAACATGTGAAGTACAATGTAACTTTTCTCATTGGAATCAACACAGCCCCTCATTACTCTAATCTAACTCTGATATTCTCGGCTGGGCAGACTGATTTTCTCTCTTTCTGTATGTCTCTCTCTCTGCCTCTTCTCTCTCCCTCCTTATGAACACACACACACACACACACACACACACACACACACACACACACACCAGAATGAACATATTTATATTCATAGAGGTTTCCCAAGCTGTTTCTCTTTCACTGAAGCTGTTTTGAATTTATGAACAACTGCAGTGGAAAACTTGCTCTTTCATTACGATTGGCATTAAACACCACATTTAGCTGCTTGTCCTAATTATCCCGAGATTGTTTCTCTGTTCTGCTACTCCCCAGCATCCTGGTCTTTCCAGCTTCCCTAGTTCCAGCCCCACATCCTCATTCCTCGTTGCTAGAGCTGAGCCCAGAGCGGTGAGGGTGCTGGCAGAGTGGCTGAGTCTGTTTACAGTGACTCCTGCCTCCTGTCTGGTGGCAGGCTGCTGGCTAGTCTGATGTCCCTTCTCCTCTCTTCCCATGGTAATGGGAGCCTGCGTTTTGGCTGAGCACATGGCCACCTTCACAGCAAAGACTACGTTTTACAGCGCTGTTTGCCACCAACTGACTACTTGGCCCAGCTTTGACCAAAGAGTTGGGGACATGATTTGCACAAGTCCTAGCCGGACAGCTGTACCCCTCCCACACAATTTTTTCCCTTCCTGCTGTTTGGAACACAAGCACAGTACTGGTTGACTCGGGGAGCATTTGTTCATTCGTTCAATTAATGTAATGAAGAAAATAAGGAAATAAGGCTCCATGAGAGATGACCATCAGAAATAACAGACAGTAGAAGTAGACCTACAGCCTACAGCATCAGATATTGGACTGATCAGAGAAAGACTAAAAAAAAAAAATCATAGAGGTGACGAACAACAACAGCAACAACAAAAAGCAAGCTAGGAAAAGCACACAGGTCCGGGAAAACAGTTCTGTCTCAGACCTCTCCTGAGGTAACTGGCTCCACACCCTGGAAATGTGATCGTCTGGCTACTATT